TTGTCTCAAGAGAGAGAGGTAAGCCTGGTATTAGCATGGAAACAAGAGAGAGCTGAGAAACCAGAAGCAAGGAGAGACCACCCTTCGTAATCCGGATGTAAAATGATGAGTGTTTGGATTAGAACGGGGGAGGGGACGTTGAGGCGATGAGGAACAGAGAGGAAAGAAAATTTGTGAGACATTTGGAAGGAGGAACTATTAGGTCTGAATGACAGGTTGGATGAGAAAGGGAGAAGAATCACGCAGAATTTCAATTTTTCTAGCTTGGGAGATCAGAAAAGTGACTCATTTTCACGTCTCTCTTTTTTTTTTTCTTCACACACAAATTGACTCCCTTATAGTGTCCGCTTGAAATATCAATTACAAACAGAAGTGATTTATTTTTTTCCATTAGAAACACATGTCATCTTAGATGCCTTTAGCTCCATGGCCCAACCTGCATCTTGCCCAGGCTTTGTTCTCCCCTAGCACTCATCCCTGTATGATGGCGCTCACCCTGTTTGTACTGGGTATGTGTGGTGTGTATGTATTTTCTCACCCCGTAGACCAGAAGTCCTTTGTGTGCAGGGGTCAGAACTTATACATAGTAAGTCCTCAATAAGTGTCTATTAACTATGGAAGAAGAAAATGAGACTTAAAAGAGATGCAACATAAAAAAACTATCCAGCCCTAACCGGTTTGGCTCAGTGGATAGAGCGTTGGCCTGCAGACTGAAGGGTCCCAGGTTCGATTCCGGTCAAGGGCATGTACCTTGGTTGCAGGCACATCCCCAGTGGGGAGTGTGCAGGAGGCAGCTGATCGATGTTTCTCTCTCATCGATGTTTCTAACTCTCTGTCCCTCTCCCTTCCTCTCTGTAAGAAATCAATAAAAATTAAAAAAAAAAAAGCTATCCAGAAACAGCACTATTTTAGAAAAAGCAAATTTAAGTTAAATTTACATAAAAGCTTCTCTGCTCCAAACATTCAAACCACCGGCCAAGTAAATATTAAACACCCAATTGTGATGTTGTAAGGGTCACAGTTTTATTCCTTGGTTACTAATTCCTGTAATAATACCATGTAATAATAAACATTGCTAGTAGGGTCTAGAATTAAATGAAACACTTAGTATATACTTTTTTTTTAAAATATGTTTTTATTGATTTCAGAGAGAGGAAGGGAGAGGTAGAGAGAGATAGAAACATCAATGATGAGAGAGAATCATCGATCGGCTGCCTCCTGCACGTCCCCTACTGGGGATCGAGCCTGCAACCCAAACATGTGCCCTTGACTGGAATCAAACCTGGGACCCTTCAGTCTGCAGGCTGACGCTCTATCCACTGAGCCAAACCAGCCACGGCCTTAGTATATACTTTACACAAGTTCCTGGATAGTGGTCGTTTTATTCCCGTCTTATAAAAGAGACTGCACAAAGTCACACCATCGAGCAGGTAGGTGTTGGCGCTGGGATTTGAACCCGGACACTTGGACCCTGGAGTCTGCATCCTTAATAGCTCTAACTTTGCATTGCATATGCAGACAACTTTTTAATTTTTGTTGAGACTCACAGATGATTTGGGTCGTATCAACCCTTTACGAGAGAGAGAGAGAGAGAGAGAGAGAGAGAGAGAGAGAGCTTTTCCACTCAGTACTCGTGTTTTTCCTTATGTATGGGACACATCCTTGGAGGGAAGAAATAGAGCGTTTCAATGGTTTTCAGAAATGTCCAACAGTAATCGAAAAACTCGAGCAAGAACAGCCTTTTACAGACCACCTGATAACAACACTGGAATAAAACCCTCTACCTGGAACAGGACTAACATCCCCCTTCCCCTCATTTGCATTCAAAGCCCGGCTTTATTTGGAAACTCCTAAAATAAGTGGTCAGATGATTAAAAAAGGCAGCGGCGCGCCCCCTCCCCGGCGGCC